CGCGTGCAGCTCTCAGCAAACTTTATTTTGAAAACTCTCCTCGGCGGGGGAGGCCCCCGGCGACCTCGAGCGAGGGGTGTGTGTGGGATTTGGGTGAAACTCTCCGGGCCCTCCCGTGGGGGTGGGGCAGAGAACAACTTTCTTGCAAATCACCTTGACCACCACCTTCAATGAGTCGCCCAGGTTCCCTGAACACCCCATCCGGCCCTCGGCCTCCTCCCCAGGCAGGGCGTGGGTGCTAGTGTGCCCTGCCAGGGGTTCTGGGCAGAACTTCATTGAGCGAGCCCGGCTCTTCCCCCCATTTTCTCTCTCCCCGGCGGCAGCAGCAGCAGGAAAAGGGAACACGTGAAAGTTGTCTGAGCCCCAGGTGATGCGCTCCCTTCCCCTTTCTGTCTTTTCCAGGCAGCCTTGCCTTCACCACCCTGACTCGGGAAGAGAAATAATCAGGAGAAACTGCCCCTGCTCTGCCCCCACCACACACCTGTCCACCTCATGCCTGCACCCAGGGTGGGTGAGGGTGAAGCGCCCTCCCGGCCAAGATGATCCCTGCTCTGGGCGCTGCTGCTGCTGTCCTCCCCCAGACCCTGGGCCCCAGCCAGTGGGAGAGCGGCCCCCAGCTGAGCCCTACCAGACTGCTGCAGAGGAGGTGAAGAGGGGTGGAGAAGAGGCACCTGCCCGAGACTGGAGCTCCTAGCCGCCCCCTTGTAGGCTTGTGACTGTTTTAGGGAAGAAGGACCTGTTGGTGGCCTTGGCAGGCAGGAAGCTGGACGGTGGCTCTGCCCTGGCACCTATGCCCCCGCGTCTGGCAGCAGCGTCATGAGCCAGTTTCAGGTGCCCCTGGCCGTGCAGCCGGAGCTGCCCGGCCTTTATGACTTTCCTCAGGGCCAGGTAATGGCAGGGGGCTTCCAGGGGCCTGGGCTCCCGATGGCTGGGAGTGAGCCTCAACTCCGAGGGGGCGGGGATGGGCGAAAGAAACGGAAACGGTGTGGCACGTGTGAGCCCTGCCGGCGGCCCGAGAACTGTGGGGCTTGCACCAGTTGCACCAACCGTCGCACACACCAGATCTGCAAGCTGCGCAAGTGTGAGGTGCTGAAGAAGAAAGCGGGGCTTCTCAAGGAGGTAAGCTGGTCTGCGCCGGGCGGCCCTGTCCCTGCCGTGCGGGTGCTTGTATCCCCAAGGGTCTTGTTCAAGAGCGTGCGGTCCTTCCACTCCTTCCGAGCCTCTGGGTCCAGCTTTGAGTGTTCCTGTCATGGGGAGCCGGCTCGGGCTCCTTGGCCGGGCTGATCATTTATAAGAGAGTAACTGGGTCGCGGAGGACTCTTGAGCCAGCACGCTCATCTCTGATGTCTGCGTTTGTCCCTGGACAGTGATAGCCAGCTTTATCTCTAGAGGTTTCTTGTCCTGCTGGAAGCCTCGGATGTATTTCAAGGTCACACCATTGCTGGGGTGATGTGGAGAGGGATGGTGTCAGGTCAGGGATGGAAGCGGATGGGTTTGGAAAGAAAAATTTGGAGTGGTTTTATGGTTGTATGCTGCCCGGATGGAGTAGGGTATTTCTTTCCATAAACCTTTATCTTGGGTACCATTTTTTTTTTCTCTCTCTCTCAGAAAGACGGCAGGGAATTTTATGGGAAACCCAGGATTTGGGTTCCTCTACTAAGCATATCTTGAAGTCAAAGACTGTTACCTCTGTGTTTCAGGACCTGGCTCCGATCCTTGGTGTATCGGAAGCGCTCAGATACTAATTGAATGAATGGATGACGTGTTTTTGACACATTGTCGCCCCCGGGGAGGAGTACTCCCTGCATTTGGAGTAGCGGGGTAGCGGGAGGGAAGGAGGAGCTGGGAGGAGGTCAGAGGAGGGAAGTGGAGAGGCAGTGGCCCTGCCCTGGCCATCTTTTCCTTCCACAAGGCTGGTGGCAGCCGCCACAGCGGAGAGTTGGCAGGAGTAGGGACGCGCGAAGTTGAGCAGCTGGGGAGGCGCAGTGTAGCGGCTGAGGTCGCTTCAGGCAGCGGAACTGGCGCTGGACAGAGGCGGAGGCCTGCGCTGTCTGTGGGGCTCCCTGGCTCTGCCACGCAGCCCTCTCTCTAGGCCTGTCTTCTCCTCGGGGGAAATGGAGGGGTCGTGCTTGATGGTCTTTGAAGCCCTTTCCAGCTGTGAGCCGCCGTGCGTGCGTGCGTCTGAGGGCGAGGGCACCTGTGGCTTCGATGGACTGGCGCTGGTGCTGGGGCTTCCCTGACCGCCGAGTGCAGAGTTGTGTCCTGGGCTCAGAGGGGCTGTGGTCCTGTGGCTGGAGGATGATTCTAAGTGTCGGTGGCAGGGAAGTGGGTGCTGCTGGGATGCTCTGCTCCCTCTGACCTTATCTTGTCCACTCCCAGTGGAAGCAGCATATCCTGGTCTGGGCGTCACCGACTCCGTGCCCTGGTTAAAACAGACATCTGGATCACATCTGCAGCTCCCACCCCAGCTTGGGAGAAGTGTCCAGCCCCTTTCTGTTACTGGCGTTGGAGGAGTCGGCATCCTGCTGGACCAGTGCCGTGGGTCACTTCTGAAAGGGGGTGGGGCAGGGCTGAGCTTTACTCCTGGGCATGAGATCTGGTGTGTGGGGGAGAGGAGAACCTGCCCATCTACTCTGTGAAGCTGGGCTCCATTCCTCCTGTGATCAGACCTGGGGGGTGGGGGCCTGATGTTTATAGGTTGGATGTTTCTGGAACCAGTGGTCCTCGTGAACCATGTTTAAGCTCTTTTTTTTTTGGCAATGATGAGGCATACCTGAGGGAGAGGGGCTGGAGGGAGGCCAGAGTCCCGTCATCCTGGGTGTGAGCTGCCGGCCTGGGCTGCCGGGCGGTCGGAGTTAAGATACCGGGGATCTGGGTTGGCTGAGGCTTAGGACAACCCTGCTGAGAGGTGTCTGCCTCCCTACAGACCTGCCATGTCGCTGCCCCGCCAGGCCCCCAGGGTCAGGGAAAGTGCGGCCGGTGGCCTGCGGAACCCCAGGGCAGAAGGTCCACGTGCCAGCCCAGGACAGGGTCTCCCAGTTTCTGGAGAAACAATGGAAAGATGACAATGGAGGGAGCTTTTTTTTAAAGCTAATTTTTTTTTTTTACTTAAAAAGAAGTACTTTGTTTTAATAATAGATCCTTTCTACTTCTTAATGTTTAAAATGTGCTTTTTAAAAATGAAATCAAGGTGTTGATAGAAAGTTTATTTTTTTAAAAGAAGTCTTTACTTAGCAAAGTACAAAATGACAACTATTACCTGTCTCCATAATTTTTTTAAAATTTTATTTTTTAATCTTCAACCGAGGATTGAGAGAGAGAAACATCGATTTGTTGTTCACATATTTATGGATTAATTGGTTGATTCTTGTATGTGCCTGGACCAGGGATCAAATAAACAACCTTGGCGAATCAGGACGACGCCCTAACCAACTGAGCTACTTGGTCCGGGCCTGTCTCCATATGTCTCTATTTTATTGGTCCACGAAGGCCGAAAGCGTGGGAACCACTGCCAGGCTGCGTTGCATTTAATGGATGCACCTCTAGCAGAGCTGCTATGCCTAGAGGCTCAGCCTGAGTGAAGGAACTCCAGGTGCAGCCCAGCATTTACCAGGCCCCCAGAACCTTAACCCTTAGATCTGAGCCGCCACGTAGCAGAGGAACAAGCCCCAGGACTGGGGGAGTTGGGGAAGGAGAGGATGCGTTCCTGGTATCTGAGTTTTCTTTGGTTTGGGCTCAGGAATATAACGTAAGCATTTGGCCCAGACTCTTCAGGTGGAACAAGACACAGCATCCCAGGAGTCTCTTGGGAATCAGACCATCTCCTTGCATCCCTGCTCCCTGGCATTTCCTCTTCTGGGCACCCTTTCCTCACTTCCATCCTGTCTCCACCTCCCCCGGCTTCCTTTGAGCTATCTGTCGACAGCTGCTTTGGATCGTCCTGTAAGTGGGTAAACGTTATCTCGGTTTCCCCGGCTTCCTTCCCTGCTCCTCACTCCTCTTCCAGTGGAAGGGTGGGTGGCAGTGCTGCAGAGTCCTTCTATCAGAAGAGAAGTTCGGCATTTTAGGACAGCTCCCAGAGTGGGCCCTCCCACCAAGGCCGGCGACTGCTGCTCTGGCTCCTAACATGCAGTAACGCACCTGAAGGGGTCATTCCCGTTCCGTCGTCTTCCTTCCTAGTTCCGGGAAGGATTTAGATCCCGGACTGATGCCCAGACCTTTGGACCTCCACATTCTTTTTACCTGAATGGTGGCTCATAGCACGAGACAGCGGGTTAGAAAAGTCAGATTTGGTGGGTGTGGAGACACAGGGACCTCAGAACCCGCAGCACGCCCTGTGCCGCCTACTCTCCTGAGCACCGGTTTTCTCATTTGTCAGACAGGGTAACGCTTCTTTGCAGGGTTTGTTGTGAGAATTGAGATAAAGTATGCATAATGCCCGGCACGTAGTAGGTCATCAGCGCATGGCGACAGTACAGTCCCAGAACATCTAGAAAAGAATTAATCTTTGTGCATAAACAACTGTGCATTTGTGAGCCTCTGGGTTGTAACTGTAAAGATGCAACTCAAATTAAATGTTTATCTCCAGACATTCCCTCACGTGCTCATAGAAGAATCGTGGGGGGCAGAGGGAAGGAGCAGTTTGCCGGCCTCTCTGCTGGGGAGGAGGCTGGACAGCAGGAGCAAGGAGCCACTCTGGTCCTGACTGAAAAGTTGCTCATGGGTGAGGGAAGTGAACGCTTTGGGGGCAAAAAAAAAAAAAAAAAAAAAAAAAAACTTGTATAGAAAAATGGTTGCATGAGGGTGGAAGCATGACTGAGAATTTTAGTGAAAATGGAAAGAAAGGGGAATATATATATGGTGTGAGACACTGTCTTGACCCTCAGCCATGTGGTGGAAACTGCTCTCGGTGCCGATTTTGAGACAAGATACTTTGGAATTAGGGATCTCCCAACAATATCGGGCTGCCTGATGGATTCCTGCCTCCGCCGGTCGGTAGGTCTGTCTTCCTGAAGACAGAGGCTGTGAGGAGGGATCCTTTCCCCCAACAAGGGGAGAGCTGATGGGTGAAGAAGAAGTGCTGAGAATTAGGGAAAGGGACCCCATCCGAGCAGCTGTGAGGCCGGGGGAAGGCTGGACAAGGAGAGGCGCTTGCCATAGACTTAGACAGTGGTTTTTTCATAAAGTTTTTAACCCCATGGCCACAGACTCTAAAGGGGAAGTTAGCTGGAGGGATAGGATTGCTTCTTAAAAAAGGAAATGCTGACGGAACAGTCCTGAATGGTGCCCTGAGGAGAGGAAGATGGTGGGAGAGGGGAAGAACTGAACCAGCTGTGTGCCGCCCGGCTGCTGCCTGGTGAGTGCGGAGGGTCGCAGACCCGCTCCTCATGTGGAAGAGGGTGCGTGACACCGAAGGCCGATTCAAGAGAGGTCTGACCCCTTAGGAGGCGGGGCAGGAACTTCAGTGACCAGAATGTGCTGAGGCCGGTGGAAAATACTCAAGACAATAAAAAGCCTTTTATATATTCCCAGCAAGAACGAGAAGGCAGGAATAGGCTCACAACTTCAGGGAGCATAACCAGAGACACACAGAGAGAGCAGCCATTGGGTCCCCGTCGCCTTAGGGGGTGAGGTGTAAACTGGGAAGGACCGCGTGTGTGTGGTCAGGAAGGCGGGGCCAGCCGCCGCCCTGCCTGCGCCTGAGTCACTCGCTCCCTGGCTCCCTGCTGAACACCTTCAGATGAGTTTGGGGAAGGACATCTCTATGAATGACGATGATCGGAAGGAAACCAAAAGGCCAGAGACAGGTAAGAAGTCCCCGTATTTGGAGAGAGTTTGGAAAATATCAAAGTAAAAGTTTGGCGTCCGTTTTTGACAGATCTGGAGCAGACTGTTACAGAGGTGGTTGGCGAGGCTTTAGGAAGGCAGGTGGTGAGCTTGGAGGGTTCCTGCGGTTCTTTACAAAGCAGCCCAGTCGAACTGACACACCTGGATCTCTGCACATACGTGCTGGTGTGTCCTGCCAGCTTCTTGGGCAGATCAGAGGGCCAGTTGTCTATTTCAAGTCATCCCGTAGAGCTGGCGTGGGGATAGCTGCCCTGGATCAATCTTTCTATCAACCCTGTGGGGCGGGGGTTCCACATTGGGATCCCCTGGGCCCCACCCCCAGGGATCTGAATTAATTGGTCTGAGGTCAACCCAAGTGATCCGGGGCTCCCAGGTGTATCTAATGTGTAGTTAGGGTGCAAGTCCTCGGATGCAGATGAGAGCTGAAGGGATGGGCACCTACCTGGACTCTTCCATAAATGGCTCACCTGAGTCTTGGGCACCTTAATGGTTCACACCCCTATTCCCACTTTGCTAACCAGTGGCCCAGCAGCATTGGCATCACCGGGAGCTTGTTAGAAACGCAGACTCTCCGGCCCCACCTTAGACCTGGTGAGTCAGGATCTCCACTGTAACCAGATGCCCGGGGCACCTGGATGTGCCCAAGAGGTTGAGGAGCTGGTGACGGGGAGAAGGGAGGGCGGTATGGAGGATAGAAATAAGTCTTGATAAACATCAGGGTTAGCGAGGATGACCTCACCCATTTCTGTAACCTGTAGGCCAGGGAGACCAGAACCTCTTGAGGTTTCTCCCAAGTCTGTTCTTTGGGAGCCCAGTTCCTGCTCATCGAGTGAGTTATGAGAACCCGTCAGGAATCTGTGTGTGTCCTGAGAGTAGTCAGGAAAGGGCTCTCAGATGTTTGCTGCTCAGTAGTCTGACTCGATGTTGGAGCCCATGAGCCAGTAGTAGCTGATGGTGACTGTGAAGAGAAAGGTTGTGCTCACAGAATCTTGGGACTCGTGGAAAGGGCTGGACGTGCATGCATCTCCTGGGTGCCCTCTTCATAAGATGTGGGTCGGGAGTAAATGTGTTAGATCTGTGGGTAGGTGGGGGTGAGGGTAGTGCGGGTATCCAGCTGAACAGTAGATCAATGGGCAGCCTGGAACACTGGACCCAAAGAAACTTCATGGGATTTCATTGGGTGAATCCGAAGTCCTGTACCTGTTTTTAAAAAGAGAAGAAATATGTGCACAAGCCAGGAACCCTGCCTTCCTAGCAGGTAGGAAGGGCTGAAACTCTAAAAGGGATATTCTCGCCTGTATCGAGGGGATCTGTCAGTGTGGTCCCGTGAGAGACAATTGAAGGAAACCGGCCTGTTCGCCTTGGGAGTGGGTAGAGAAGTACAGACCAAGTCCCCTCTCGTGTGGAAAAGGGAGTCAGTTCTGTGGTGTAGAGGAGTGTGCAGAACGTTTCTTAGTGGGTGGACGTTACAAGCAGGTAGACTGAACCCATGTTAGAAGAGAATTGTCTCACATTTGTAGCTGTTCCAAGACTGAAGAGCAAACCCTGTGCGGTGGTGCGCATCCCGCGTCTGGCAGAGGCCGGGTGCTGACAGGCGGGATGTTCTGAGGACATCCTCAGGGTGGGGCTTCCACACGTGGTGTCCTTGCTAAGACTCTGTGAAGGACAATATCAAGTCTCTCTTCATGTTCCTCAGATGACTACATTGCAGAAGAAACATCTTCAGCTTATGAGGATTTTGTCAAGTTCTAAACAGTCTTATACATAGACCTGATCTTGGGCCTACGTTGGAGTAAAATCTGGGAACCTTTTGAGGGCCCATGGTTTTCAGTAGATTCTTAAGAGTATCCGTGACCTCCCCACATTTAACAAGCATGCTCTGCCTGAGATGTCCAGTTATGGTAGCCATTAGCCACGTGTGGCTATTTAAATTCAGATTAATTAAAATTAAATTCAGCATTAGCTGCCTGTCAAGTGCTCTATCGCGGCTCGCTCTCGTGGTTAGCGGCTTAGGCGTTAACATTTCCAGCGTTGTGCAGAGTTCTATGGGACATGGGGGTGCCCTGTTGATCTCGGAACCCTCACCCAGACCTCTTTCTGGGTCTGGGCTGGGCGCCTCGCCGTCCTGGTTGGCTGCTCTAAGAGGGTATTTTGGGTTAGGATCCCTGGCCCCACCCCAAGGTCAGTGTGAGGGGTGACGGCTCCTGGGTTCTCACCCACCGCAAAGCGCATTGCTTCTCCTTGTGGGCCTGGCAGGTCTTAATGATCTGCTGTGGAGAAGGAGAGCAGGAGGAGGGCTCTCCACCCAAAGGCTCCCCAAGGCTCCCGAGCGGAAAGTGGCCTCTTCACCCCCAGACTTGACCAGAGGCCCTGGTGAAACTTGACCATGTTCACTTCTGGCCCCATACGGCCCTCTGCACGGACCCAGCCCGAGTCCCTTGTTAACTCTGTGCCTCGGGCTTCTCATTCTAGAAGGTGGTGAGGTGACTGGGCGAGTAGTGGGCGAGTAGGGGGACCACATCAGGGGTCTCAGGAGTTGCCACTAATTCCCCACTTGCCTTCCCATCAATTTTTTAAAAATGATTTTTAAAAATCCTCACCCAAGGATATGTTTCTGTTGACTTTGAAAGAGAGAGGGGGGCGGGGAAACATCAATGTGAGAGAAACATCAATTAGTTGCTTCTCATATGTGCCCCTACTGGAGATCAAATCTACTGCAGCCCTGCTGGCTGTTCTAGGGAGAGACTCGAGGGTTGCTGTGGCCGCTGTCTGAGTGTCTGTGCAGGGCCGAGGCTGCTGGAGCACCTGGAGTGGACACACCTCTCCAGTCCTTGTCTCCTGTCATTTGCATAAGAAACCTGATAACCTAAGTTTCAGTCACTAAGGAGAGAAACAGAGAAAGTCGCAGCCCAGTGTGGGGTGACCGGCCAGCCTTCTGGTGATCGCAGGTCCTGGGGCTGCTCCCTTCAGGTCGCAGGAGCTCTGTTCTGCTCTGATGCGCACACGTTCCAGCTCCGTCAGACCTCACAGTCCCACACCCAGGCGGAGAGTTCGTGGACAGATTAATGCACCTCCCACCACTGGCAAAGCAGCAGTTCCAGATTCTCCACAGGGAAGGGAAGTTACACCGGACAGAGTCATTTGGGGGCATTTGCCAGACTGCACGTGCCCGTAGCTTCCCACCTCCCCTAGTCCCAGCAGGAAGCTTTGGGGAGGCTGTGGAGATGCTAGGTTGGAACAAGACAGAAGGGACTGGACGAGAGTCTGTTTCACGGGGTGAGCCATTCCTTGTGAGCAGGATAGGGGAGTCTCTGTCTCGTCTCGTTTTTTTTTTTCTCTGCCTTACTGCTTATTGATTAGCTCTGCCCGTTAAGGGTAAGCTCTGAGTGTCCCAGCTCCCTCTTCGACTCGGGGGATGACCCTGGAGCCCTAGGAGAGAGAGGGATGGCGGACTCTCACGAGGAGGGCTGCGTCCTGTATGAACTGTGTTCTTGCTGCAGGACAGGGAGCCATCGGGTGGAGGAGAGCGCTATCTCCGGGGGGCGGGGGGGTGCGGGGCGGGGGAGGGCAGCTCCTCCCTCTGGCCTCGCTTCAATTTCCCGAGGCAGGACGTCATCTGCTTTAGCTGTAGACCTGTGAGCT